AAAGAAACGTAACCCATAATATTGATTGCAGAAGGGATGCAGTCAATCACAAGGTATTTTTTGATGAAAAGAAGATAAAATGAGCTGCATCACATAAAAATATTTGAGGGTTGACTCTTTAGTAAAGTCGATTTTTCAATGATTGGCAATGTAAGTCGTATAATGTTAAAAATTCAACATGACACTATCAGGACTGTTGAAGCACAGAGGTTTGCATGAGTAAACTTATGTTTTCTCCCTTCAATTCCCCTCCAATTCAATGTAAAGAGGATATGACTAATGAGATGCATCCTTAATTTTGGTTAGGAATCAAGGATCACCTCGCATTCCCGTCAAAAGCTCACCATTCAACGAGAATAATCCAATCAGCGGTAAGTCCAAGGCGGTCCGAGTCTTAATCCGTGCTAAATCAAAAACATTTCATTCACTGAGAACACCAGGGACACGGAAATGCGCGACTTAAGGCGTTGACAGGCTCCCCTGCACTCTCGGCACGGCACTTTGCGCCCGCGTTGCCAGTCCGCGGCGATCACTTAAAATCACGAAATTGGACCGAGGGGCGAGCCTCACACACGCACACGTACCACTCGCGCGCAGTTGGGACCGTCGACACGACTTTCTCAGCGGGAGGTCGCAGGCGGGCGACCGTCGGAGATCGCAGGGTTTGACATGACGGGTCGTAAGGTGCGCGAGCACTTGACGCGGACCTCTCCGCGGCACGAAAACAAAGCGACTGATGGGGTTGAATCGGAGTTGGTTCGGCTAGCCGCCGCCGGCGGGAGCGCGGCGCTAGTGTCGCAGTGTCGCCGAAAGCACGGCCTTTGGAGACGGAGTATCGTCTGCTTCACATCACAAACAGTATCCACTCGGCGCTGACCGCACCCACACACACTCGCGTGTGTTTACTTCTGAAACCGCCTGCTGCCTGCTTCCATGTAAGTACCCATGTGTTGAACTCGTGTCTGATATTTTCTTTAATATTCCATTTCTAACTACTTGTATCGCATTTAAAATAGAATTCTGTGACGCGTGGCTATGCTTTTAGTCTGATTTTATCGTCAGTTCAACCCCTCTTTAATTATATTGCTCGAGGAAAACTATTTACTGCCATTCTTAACCTCCCTCATGTCGTGTTCACGCGGTAACCTCCTAACCCAACCTAGCTCTCGTGGGTTGCACAAGACTTCTGAATAATGAAGTTCATGTGTTCAATTGTTCTGCTCGCTCTTCTAAAGACTTAATTGCCCGTCAGTTTCTGAATTCCATTCCCTTGAATCGTCCATGTTGCACTTGCATGACCTATACATATCACTGTTGCTAGTTTTGTCACTTTATCTTGACTCATCTCTTACCTTTTGAAATTGTTTCAGATTACAATGGAAGCCACTGAACAGAGAAAGAGTTTTGGAGACAGAGGTGGATTCAGGGGAAGAGGAAGAAGCAATTCCCGTGGACGAGGAGGAGGAGGAGACCGAGGACGAGGCAACTTCAGAGGTGGACGTGGTGATTTCAGAGGAGGACGAGGCAATTTCAGGGGGGGAAGGGGGGACTCTCCCGGTGGTTTCAGAGGTGGACGAGGTGGTTTCAGAGGTGGACGAGGTGGCTCTCCCGGTGGTTTCAGAGGTGGACGAGGTGGCTCTCCTGGTGGTTTTAGAGGTGGGCGAGGTGACTCCCCTGGTGGTTTCAGAGGTGGGCGAGGTGACTCCCCTGGTGGTTTCAGAGGTGGACGAGGATCCTCCAATTTCCGAGGCCGTGGAGGTTTTCAAAGAGACAATGAGAAGGTAACTGCCGCTTTGTTGACTTGCTGAACAAAGTTTGATCAAAGTTTAACAAGTCCTCATTTACTATCTATTTTTCTTCTCAGGTAAATGGAGGTGAGTCAACAGAGCGTCAAGGAGGTTTCAGAGGCAGAGGCTCACGAGATGGTTCAAGAGGTAGAGGCTCTTTCCAAAATGGCTCTAGAGGCAGAGGCAACTTCAGAGGCTCTGGTTTTCGTGGCGATCGTGGTGGAAGAGGTGGGCGTGGTGGACGAGGTCAAGGAAGACCCAGTACTGACAACAGCTTTGTGAAACATACTAAGGTACAAATGTTTAATTAAACCCCCTTTAAATATTTGGAATTTCATGTTTAAGTGTTAGTTTTTTTGGTACTAATTTGATTGATTTTATTTGTCTATCAGGCTAACTCTGAACAGAAAGCAAATGGTACTGAGAAACTGAGTACACAGGATGTCAAAAGAAAACAAAAGTTAGTCCCAGCGGAATCAAAACAAGCTGTATTAATTTCTAATCTTCCGAAGAAGGTGGAAAGCTTACATGCTGAATTTCAGTCTTTCATTTCAAAGTCTGTTGGACCAGTGAAACTCATAACGTACAACAAACTAACAACATCAAAATCTGCCTCTGTATCAGCAATTTGTGTTTTTGAGGAAGAGTCAGATTTCAAGGCTGCGTTGGATAAACTACATGGGAAAGAGTTTTCTGGTCATCATCTTCTTGTCCAGTCTTTTAAGGATTCTAAATTTGATACACATCACACAACCAGAAATTGTGTTTGTGTTACTAATATGGCTGACAAGACTACCGAAGAGGACCTATGGAAATTGTTTGAGGAATGTGGCGCTCTGGGAATGATCCACATCAACAGGAATTCAGCTACTGGTTCTCCTTATGAAGCTGTTGTTAATTTTAAGGACCGCGAAAGTGTACCTTCTGCGGTAAAGCTGGACGGAACCCAATTATTAGAATCAACAATCAAAGTAGTCAATCTTGATAGAAGATTCAGTGTTCTTGTGACCAACATCGGAAGGCAGGTTAAAAATCAAGAATTTAGAGAGTTCCTTTCAGAATGCAACTTGGCTTACTTTAGCTTTGGTGCAAAGAAAAAAAAAGAACAAAAGACTGCCTTTGTTTTTCTTGCTGTAAGTTGTAATTTTGCGGAAACACTATCCCCGTAGGTTGTTTTAAACTGCTCTCAACATCTAGTTTTTTATTTATTTTCTAGGATGAAGCTGGTTACAAACAGGCTATGGCATTAAGTGGCAAAGACCTAGAAGGCTATCCAGTCAAAATTACTTCTGCTGCTGAGAAATCATCAGTTGAAGCATATGATGTCTTTTCACCAATGATACCTTGTGGTATGTTTTTTTCCCACCCTAAAATATGTGACTTATCTGTATTAATCAGAATGCAGTGATATATCTTTATGTTGACTTTTACTTCTAGGTGTATCCACTGAAGAAATCGCAAAATTATATGGGGCCTTTGGAAAAGTTACCAATTCAATGCTACCCCTGAAGAAGAATGTCAGCAGAATATCTTTTGAGGTATGATACTATATGCATGTCAAATTAGTAGTGTCATCTGTATGCCCTTTTTGCTAGAGACTAACATGCTTTCTTTAACTTTTAGACAGAGGAAGAAGCACAAGCAGCAGTAAAAGCATCTAGTATTAAAATCAATGGTGTTGTAGTAACAATTCATCCAACTTTCAACAAAGCTTTAAAAGTCATCAAAAAGCTGCTGCAGAAAACTGAAAAGGCAGAAGCACTGAAAGGCACTGATTCTAAAAAGGTTAAGGAAGTTAAGGTAGCCACCCTTAAAAAAAAGATGGCCATTAAGAAAGAGGAGATGGATGAAGAAAGTGAAGATGATGAGAATGACAGCTCCGATGATGAACAGGAAACCAAAGTAACTGTGAAGGTTGAAAATGATGAAGAGGATGAGGAGGGTAGTGATGAAGAGGAAGAGGAGGGTAGTGATGAAGAGGAAGAGGAGGGTAGTGATGAAGAGGAAGAGGAGGGTAGTGATGAAGAGGAAGAGGAGGGTAGTGATGAAGAGGATGAGGAGGGTAGTGTTGATGAAGAGGAAGAAGATGAAGAAATGGATGTCAGTAATGGACTTCTGGAATTTGAAGCTGAGGAGGATGATGATGACGACGACAATGAAGTGGATGAGGAAGAGGAAGATGATGCTGACAGTGCTGATGAAGATGGAGACAGTGAGGACGAAGATGTAGACAGCGATGAAGACATGGAAGTTGAAGAAACACCAAAACCCAAATCTTTTACCCCAAGTAAAACTAAAAAGGTATGTATTTCAAATTTATGACTATGCAGTGGTTTTTTTTGTAGCCATGCTCATGCTGTTGCTACTTTACTGTTTTCAACACAGTCTAATTTGTTTATGTTTTTAAAATGTTCAGGTGGCCCAGTCCATCAAACCACAAAATGACCTCAAAAGAAAAAGGAAGGACTCTGGACCAATTTCAAAGAAACAGAATAAGAAGAATAAGTATTAGGAGTAGATTACTTAGACTAGTGATAATTTTCATTGAAGCTGACCTAGGAATCTTCAAGATATTCCTACATGTGTTTCTGTAATTACAAAGCCTTTGAACTGTTTGTTGTCCGTTGCACTAATTAGTGTGGGAAACACTATAATAAATGTTGATTGTTTTGATGTGAGCTTTCATTAATTATTACCTCAAGTGCTTCATTTGTAAAAATGGGGGACATTAATGGTGGTCAAGAAAATGTACTGTGAGTAACTAAAAAAGGAATAAGCAGGTTTTATTGCAAAATAAAATAAATTGCTTTTTTGGACATTTAAAACATATTTTGGACATAAAACAGATGAGTTTTTACTTCAAACTAAACAGTGCTTAAAAAATGCTTCAAATAAATTTAAAGAACATTTAGTTTTAAATTCTAGAGACTATCCCAAGACCTCTTTTTTTTTTCTTTTCTGCAATGCAATGTTTATATAATGACAGAGTGACTAAATGCTACCTGCTAACAATACAGGCAATAGATACAAAAAATAATCGTACAGCTAGACATCTAAATGTCATACCCTCACATTTCAGTCATACCATCAATTATTACAACACCATTATTTTTAGTTAAATAAAATTGAATAATTTATAAGTCAAAATTACAGAGCTTGTATACACAATCATATAGGAAAGAGATAATAATAATATACATTACAATGTCTCTAAATGACACAAGTAACATCCTTGTTATAAAACCTTTCTATACAGTACCATGTTAACAATAATAATAAAAATTGGTAAGAGTAATAAGATCTAACATGATTTATGAAGCATGGTCTTCCACACTGCATACACCAAGAGTAAATGTCCCTCAACACTTAATTTTAACACTGTAGGTTCACTTATAGCCACATTTTAAGGATAGTAAAGTCATAAAGTCAAAACATAGAAAAAAGTATTTAACTTAAAAATGAGGTCACTCAAGATTTTTTCATCATACTTTGTAATAAAGCATCACGCAATTTCTTGACAAGGTTTTCCATTTCTTCCACTTTCACTTTGAGAACCATGTTTTCTTTTGTTAAAATTTCGGCCTGTTTTCCAAGTTCATTCTCTCTTGCTTTTCTTGTGAGGCGAGATTTTCTTGATGCTTCATTGTTTCTATCTCTGAGTTCTCTGTAGCGATCTGTTTCAGAGGAGGATGAAACAGTTCTCTCAGCACGCTTGACAGTTATTCTAGGCTTCTTAGGCTTTGCATCTGTGCTCTCCTCTTCATCTTCTTCAATAATGGTTGTAACTGACCTCTTGCGAGATTTCCTCACAGGGAGGGTAAACTCTTCATCTGAGTCATATTTGGATGATGACCTCCTTCTCCTTGTTGATTTCTGTAATTCATCACTTGTTGATGGAGACAACACAAACTCATCCTCAGAATATTTCCTCTTACGAGCACTTCTTGAAGGGCGGGGAGATACTTGCTCATCCTTAATGGACTCAACAGGATGTGTGCTCAAAAAAGTTTCTTCTCCTTCCTCCTCCTCATCTGACAAGGCCCTGGGCATTAATTGAGGCTTCACTTCAACAATTACGGCAGACTCATTTTCACTCCTTACAGCAGGCTCCGATACAATTTCTTTTTTGACCCGGGCAGGAAGCAATGGCTTGACAACCATGACGTTGGATTTAGGCTCTGGTAATGAAGTTGACATTGAAGATACAGTTGAAACAGGAATACTATGGTTGGTGCTTGGCAGGGGAAAGTGGAAAGGATTGTTGTCCAAACTGACAGGTGGTGTGTTGAGTTTGTCCTGTAACAAAGAATTAAAGTTGATTATAACTTCAGTTTCAAATCCATAATTATTTTTTTGTAACAAATGCAAAGTTTAATTGAAAAGGGAAAGTAAAACATATTAGAAAGTTTTGTACTTACATCACAAAGGTAAGACAGCAGATCAAAGCTCTCAGGATCTGGTGTCTCCACAAGGGATTTGAGAACCTCAGGTGTGCTGATTGCAGGTGTCTTGATGCTCCCAGCTATGACTCCTGGACTTCCAAAGAGTAGGGCATCAAAATTCAGATCTAGTTCCGGCATGTTGACTCGGGGAGGAGGCATCTTGATAGAGAGTCCACTCTCTTTCTTCGCTGATGAGAAGCCAGTAGATTGGCTGACAGTGGGCACACTTAGTGTTTGGCTTGTAGATGAAAACACCTGTGGCTGTGGTACTGAAAACTGAGGCTGGGATTGAAGCAAATGGACTGGAGGCTGGTTTTGAATTTGCTGAGACTTTGTTGCACTCCTCATAATTTCATGATGAGCCTCAAAAAATAAATCTGTGCCTTGGATGGCACCACTTACGATTGCTGGTTTTACTGAGTTGGAGCCATACGAGCTTGAAACAAAAGCAGGAGCAGGAACAATATTTGAAGAAAAGGACTGGTGGGATGATGTAGTTTGCGGTGCCACCATTGGCCAAGAAGGTGCTACTATTTGTGGTTGAGTGACAGGAGCAGGAAATAGATTTTCAAATGGGTCGAAATGGAAAATGCCGTCATTCTGTGCTGTTACAGCCGTTGAGGTCATAGCAGCCTGAGGTGTTTGTAGCTGAGTTCCTGCAGTACTTGTGCTTGGAACACCTGGTCCTAGCTGGATCTTGGAATAGTTGTGCAAATCGCTGATTGCCGCTGGGCTGCTATTCTTCTTTTTGCTTAAAGCTGAAATCTGCTGCTGCAAAATCTTCATTAGATCAGCAGCCTTGGCTCTACTGTTGACTCCAGGATGAGTTACGCTGGTTATTCTTTCAATCCTCATTTGTAGTTCTGCCATCTTTATGGGATCCGACAGGAAATTCTGTGAAGCTACAATGGGATTCATATTTTCTTTGATGTCAGTTACCTCTTCCTTGACAGCAACAGGTAACTCGCTCTCAGAATGGAGATGATTCTTCAAAGATGAGGCAGGCAAAGTCGAAGTTTGAAGCCTACTAGGCTGAAGCCCCTTCACTACCTTCTCTTCCTCAATCTCAGGCCACCAACAATCTTTCAACAGTACTGGATTGGGCTTATCTGTACTGGCGACAGCTGAAACTGATGGGGTAGGAGTCGTAGTATCACCAGGTGATTGACTCTCAGCGCCCCACAAGTTAAAACTGCAATCTTCTTCCAGAGGTATGGAAGCAATCTCTTCACTTTTCCTCAGGTCGAAGTCAATCTCTCCGCGGAAATCTGCAAAAGATTAGATAGTTCTGTCAGTTAGACACTAACAAGAAAGGATAGGAAAAAACAAAGCAGAGCAGCTTTCTTGAAGCTTAAACTTGCTGGAGGGAAGTACTTACCAAAGTCACAAACAAGACTTTCATCTATAGCTGGCGAAGGGCAGGTTGCCGGCGAGCTGGCCGAGGTAGCGCTGCACCAGGAGCTGAGATCCTGGTAGCTCTCCACCCAGTTCTCCGAACGGCAATGTGCACTCATTGCAGCATCCAAGTGAGTCAAGGGTTCGGTTTTGATCGAACTGAAACAGATCCAGACAGTTATCTTATCTGTCCTGGGAAAGGTGGGGAGGAAGAGGTAGATTAGTTTATCAATCATAGGCTGCACCAACCTCACATCCACCGTGGGGACCTGAGGACTCGCAGGGCTGCTTAACCCAGAGGGAGTGTGAGTCTGCTTGGTTGTGGGCATTGAAGCAGATGCCGGTACGACCCGGTTCGAGCCCATGGCGTCCGTCCGCTTCTCGCCAAGAGAAGCAAGCAATTTCCTGGGCAGCAGACCACATCTTCCTTGGGTCTGCAAGGATAAGCAATCAGTTAGCACTTTCCCTAGGTCTACACTGAAGGCTGAAATTCAGTCAATTAAATGATGCAAGACTCTTGATGAACTGCAGGAATACTCACTTTAATGGGGCTTTTTCTCTCAAAGGAAATGGTGACCCTTTAGAGTCACGTATTCAGACGGAAAGTTGAGCAGGCAACCTGCACAAACAAACAGAAACCAATTATTAGTGAATATGGTTTACATGGACGACTTCAGAAGTGACTTGCGGAACCGGCCGTCAAAATTTCAGGGAAGGACCATGACAGTGACAAAAACAATTATGTGCGACTTGAGTTCTGCGAGGGCCGGGGAGTAGGCAACTAGTGACGCAGGCGCCCGACCGGCCTACAAACTCACTGCGCTCATCCACCTGCGCGCGCACATTGCAGTCGGTCCTGCGGTAGCGAATCAGACACCACACGAGCCCCAGCGCGCTCCAACTCAGGACGAAACTCAGACCGAAATAGTCCATCACTGCCGAGCCTAAGCCACACAACTCGGGGCCTCTGCGCTACGACAGCAGATTCCAGGAAAACAGGGCCAAACGCTGTCTGTCCAAAGTCCACTCCCCGCCGCGCCCGCCGCGCCGCGCGGGCGTCGGGTATTCCCCCTCACTCCACTCTAATTCGAGGGTTCGGACCAGGCGCGGCGTGGCGTGGCGTGGCGCGGCTGTTGGTCGTGCCGCGGCCCAGCCCAGCGCCGGGGAATGACGCGGCTGGGGCTCCTGCGGGGGGCGCTGCTGGCGCTGCGGGCGCGGGCCCCGCCGGGGGTTGTTGGTAAACACGAACGCGCCCAGCTGCCGCCCCAGCGGGGCCCCAGGCGGGGCTCGGGCGGCTCAGGCGCCTGCCAACGACGACACCGTCCTCAACGTCCACCAAACTCACCCTCCGCGTCCGGATACGACGGGCTCGCCAACAGCGGCGGGGTGGCAGTCGCTGGAGACTGAGCAGAGCGCTGACAGCGGGGCTGCTGACAGCAGGGGCTGACAGGTGTCAGCGGGCGCACACTAGGGTCGCCGGTCGCACTTGTCGCTTCTAGCGGAGAGCGCGACTGCGGCGGGGCGCGAGAAACACACACACACTGGCACAGCACGGGGGCACCGGAGGGCCGGGGGACGCTTGGCGGCGGGGCCAGCAGGAGTCGACGCGTGTTCAAGAGTACCGTGCAGTCCGACGTCCGAGAACCTTCTGAGCGGAGCGCGGCGGCGCGTTCGCCTTTGCCTTAGCCAATCCCCCCTCCGCGGGCCCCGTGACCGGAGCGCGCACCAATGGCGGGCGAGCGTGATGTCACCGGCGGCCAATCGGCGCCGAGAGCGGCCCGCATCGGCCCGCGGGGTGGGGGGGCCTCGCGGGGGAGAGGGGCGGCGGACGGACGCCGCGAGCACCCCGCCGCCCCTGCCCCTCCCGCCCCGCGGCCCGCCCAGCTGTGCAAGTTCAGACCTGTCGGCCGCGTCTGCGGCCTCAAACAGCCTCTGTCCGGGGCCCGTGCGGGTGCGAGAGAGACAGCGACACTCGTATGATTGCTGAGGGATGCATGACTCTCTCTCTATCTAGCTTGTGTCCTCGTTTCTGAAAAGCCCTCTCAACTTTTGTTATGTGTCTCGCCGATGACCATGGGGAGAGTGAAAGAACGAGTGTCACGCGACCCGTGCTCAAAGGGCTCAGAAGTGTGCGAAATTATCCCGAGGAGTGGATATCTGAAGTGTGGCCGCCGGTCGGTTTACCTTTGGCGATAAGGCCTGAAGACGCACGCCCACGCGTGTGCACAAGTGGAGAAAAATCGGACGTTCTGAGGGAGATAGCAGCCAGGATCTTTCTTGCTTAAAATTATAAGCCCTTTTCGATACTTGGAAGATACTACGCAGCATTTTGGAAATGATACAGGCGTTGATTATGACAGATAGTACTTTGGAGGTTCACAAAGATTTCGGTAGTTTTGTCAACATTCTAGAGAGACTTTCTTCAAGAAACCATTCCAGTTAAGCTGAGAAAAGGTGGGGAACAAGGAGTCACCATGTTAAATGTATAGCATAGTGGTGTCCATTTTCTTCTTCCCGCATTCTTTTTTCATTTCAGCATTACCGGAATGGTTTATTAATCATAATGCTTTATTAAGCAGACTGGTTTATTAAGCAGAATGTTTTATTTTTCATGAAGGAGCCTACACAGATTCCTAGATTAGTTTCGCATTGACTGGTGCATGTAAGACGGGGCGCCCACCCTCCCATTCATTTGCTCTCGCTCCGAGGTGCGCACACCCACGCACCTGGGTCACCGCTCCTCCCCCCTCCCCCTCTCCCGCGGGTCAAGTCAGGCCGTTCGCCCCGCGGCGGCCAAGGCCCTGTGGCAGCCCGGCCCGCTCCCTTCAGCCCTTTTCCCTTTCCCTCATTTCCCTCCCCATTCACAACACTGGAGGCGGTGGGGGTAGGGAGGGGCGGGGACTCTGACAGGGATCAACGCCACACGGCGGCGGGGGAGGATGCGCACAGAGGGAAGGCACAAGGACGCACAACGTTACTCCCTCCGCCTTCATGGCTGTCAGGCACATATGCATACATGATGGCCGTGCCTTGCTGGAAAACGCCACACCCCGCTTAATATCTCTAGGATTTGACGTGGTAAAAGAATTGGCAAAATATAAACCAATCACTGTCGCGATCCAATTTTTTTTTTTTTTTTTTTTTTTGGAAAACGCTACCCGGGTCCTGGGTCGGCCACTCAAACAGCATGGTGTCGCCGGGCAAGCGGGAGCGTGTCTTCCTGTACAGTCACCGGCTGTCACCGGCGCACACGACGCGGCACCCGGCGGCGGCGGCGGACAAAGTATGTGGGAGCAAACAAATTATCAGAGTCCTCCATCCGTCCAGCGAGAAGGAGAGAGGCTCGGTAGAGAAGAGACGGGGACAGTGTCGTCGTGCTCCGTTGCTCCGAGAGGCTGTCCTGTACGTGGCACGCGAAGTGCGAAAACGGCCGCGACCGCTCCTGTACGAACTGCGCACTTGAGCGTCCCGCCCCCGCCCCGCCCCCGCCCCAACCCCCGCCCGGGGTGGGGGTGGAGGGTGGCGCGGGCGAGCGCGCGCTCACGGGGGCAGCGGCCGGGGTGCGGGGCCCGGCCACGGCACGGCACGGCGGCAGTGGGGCCCCCGTTGGGGAGTCCAGCGCCGGCCGGGCCGGGGGCTCAATGACTTCCCCGGCGTGGTCCTCAACCTCGCCTCGGCCGGGCCCAGCTCGGCGGCGTTGTACTCGCGTGTTATGGACTGGGAGTCTCTCAGGGGTCGCTATGCACATTTTGCTCAACCTGTCCCTGACCACAATGAGGTCACCCAGAGCGGTCCGGTCCTCAGTTCGAGAACGTCGGGACTCATTTTGTCAAGAGCGACATGATACGATTTCGTACAGAGCGCAAACCCCCCTCGCATTGACGCACCTGCACCCTCGCACTCTCCTGGCCGAGCCTCGAGCCCGGGGTGTAGATAAGAGATTAGGGGCCTTTCGCAGGCCGCCCACTATCTCCGGCTGATAAGTCCGTACGCGTTTTTCCTAGAAATCCGCAGGGACGATCCGAGCCGAGCCACGGTTCCGCTCTGGCTCTGTGTCCCTAGAGTGCAGAAAGCCTGTGTTTTGTACTCTGCCGATATATCTCTCTCCGCCCTCGAGGCGCGGGCGGATCGTCATGAGACAATTTTAGCCGTGATGAATTGTTGAGACTGATAACACGGCGTATCGGTACTCTATGGCAGTTGTTGGCTTCGAAAAGCCCTCCAAGCTCCTCGGCCAGGGCATGCCAGGTGGAGCCCGAGACGACAAGGGGCGGGTCCAGAGGTGCGGGCGGGATGGCGACGGCTTTTGTAACCTAGGCCACGGCCTCGGCCACAGCGGACACTCGAACAGGCACCTTTTCGTCGACCCGACCAACCCGACTATGCACTGTCATTTGTCCTTCCCTAGAGCACTCGCTACCGCCTCCCCGCCCCCGCTCGCACTTTCTCCAGGACGCAGCCGGGTGGGTCCTGGGCGCGGCGCGGCGCGGTGCGTCCTGGACGCCGGGGCGCCAGGACCTTGAGATTCTGCGGCCGCGCTGTCGGCCCGGGCCCCGGGCGGCCAAAGCGGGTTGTATAACTGGGTTCGCCCCGCCTACCCAGCGGCATGGCCCCGGTGACCGTCACCTACTGCCGAGTGATCAGGGCGGGGCCGGGGCCGGGGCGGCGTGACGGGGTCCTCGTATGCCTAGGCCCCGGCCGAGTGGACGTGGATCAGAACCTTCGCGACGAGTCGCTGCTGTAAGCTGCGCGTCACACGACATACAAGTTTACGTAACGGCGCGGGCCAGCCCACCTCCTCCTGCTGCTGCTGAACAACAAGGAACAGCTAGAGAACGGAGACAACGCTGCTTCAGAGGCAATTGAAGACATTCCTTTGTCTCCGCGCGGGCAAAATTGGACTGCGAGTTAGAGAGGAGAAATTCCAGGGGGCTGAGATTTGGGGGGCGGGGAGGAGGAGGTGGAGGAAAGGCCTTCAGATATTACCGGAGCAGCACTGGAGAGGGAGACAGAAGCCCACGAGACACGCAGGGAGCGGTGTGACTCAGCGAGAACGAGCAGAACAAGTTCCTGAAAAGTGATCCGAATTGCTGCTGCGGCTGCTGCTGCTAGCGTGCGGCTTCTGTACGACAGCGACTATGTTGCGTTCCTGCTCCCCAATCGCTCGCGGGGCAGCTGAGACAAACAACCAGGGCCTATCCCATCTTATTCCGCCCCTCCCTCCCTCCCCCAACCCCGCGGACCTTACGTAAGACCGCTAACCGCCGCCAAACTACCGCCACAGCTGAGTGCAGTACACCAGCGACCAGCGCACACTTAGTTTCGTCCGATGAACGTCGGGCACATACATGTCGACCCGAGCTCGGCCGCGGCGAATCCCAAGCGGCTATTCAGCACACCCGACTTCAACAGAGCGTCCCCCTGTCACCGATAAACGACATTTAAACAAGCATTCCCTCCAAATGGAGTCGCCCGCTCCGCTTATTGGCGCCGACGCCGTGGGGCTCCGTGCGAGTAGGCAACCCGTCCACCCGCATGCACGAGTGCGGGCGGCCTTGCCTATCGCCCCTGTCCACGGCGCCTCACGGGCCGAGCGAGTAGGCAACCCGCCCGCACCCGTGCATGCGATACAGCATCACTACAGAAGTGCGCGGCGTGAATCAGCCTCCTGGTATATCTCAATAAAGCATTCCGGTAAAACTGAAATGCAGAAGAATGCGAGGAACAAGAAAGCGGAAGTCACCATGTTTAAAGCATAGTGATTTCCGTTTTCTTCTTCCTCGTATTCTTCTTCATTCTAGCTTTACCGGAATGCTTTATTGAACGCAGCTGCAAGCACACGCTCACCACAAGACACGGTGTGGACCACCCACACGGTGGTGCACACGGGTGGTGCAGTCGGTGGTGAACACGATGGTGCACACGTTGGTCCACACGGTGGTCACGGTGGTTCGGGCTCGTCACCTGTCCAACTCGCCGGCGAGCCAAGTTGCGGCCGCGGCTGACCACGCGACCACGCGACGCGCCCGCGCGCGGCCCCGCGGCCCCGGCCCAGCCTGATGCGATGCGCCCCGCCCCTCCCCTCTCCCATCTCTTTACATTCTCTTTTGGCCGCGATTCAAAATTTCGCGGGCGAAGAAAGGGGGGAGGCCTTCCCTCCCGCCGGCGCGTGACGTTGCGTGACGTAACGCGCCACGCCGTCGAGCTGCAGAGTTCGACATACTCGTCCGGCGAGTTCGCTTGTTGTTGTTGTTACTATGCGAATAAAAGTCTCGTTTGCGGAGCCACCGCCGCCATATCGTTGGGTTAGGTCAGGACACCCAAGCACCTGGCACCTGCTGCGCTGCGCCCGCTGGAGCAGGCAGGACACCCGATGAGATGTGCAAGCGCGCGCCGGCGGCCGGGCCGGGCCGGGTTGGCGGTGGCGGCCCCGTGACGCTCACCTTGACCCAGACCCAGAGCACGCCGCGGTGCGCCACGGCCGCCTGGCCCGCCCCAGCCCCACCCACCGCCAGCACGCCGCCGTACTACAAGACTACAAGTGCCTTTGGTTCCTGCACGACGACGCGGCACCTCTCCGATCACCTCCATATAGCCGTGCGATTCAGGAGATCGTTCTAGAAGGGCTCTCCTAAACCTGCCCTATGAGTGCAACAAGGA